TTTTTTTTTTTCATTGTATGGGAACACATTACTTGTGGTGATAAACATTAAATTGAAAAAATAATCATATAAGAGTCTTCCCACTTTACTCATTTTAATATGTAGGCAGTAAAACAATTACACTATTTGGCTCACGTTCAGAAACACCACGCTATTAACTGTGCTTTTTTTCACATTTCCTCAACATCTTCCTTCCTTCTTCCCCTTTTTCCATCCAGATCCCGCAGATCAGCTACGCCTCCACGGCTCCCGAGCTGAGTGACAACACTCGCTATGACTTCTTCTCCCGTGTTGTGCCACCGGACTCGTACCAGGCCCAGGCCATGATGGACATCGTCACGGCAATGGAGTGGAACTACGTTTCCACGCTGGCCTCAGAAGGCAACTATGGCGAGAGCGGCGTTGAGGCCTTTATCCAGATTTCCAGAGAAACTGGTAAGAGCGAACCTTTCCTCTGTTCATCTGCATCCCCCCTTAAAACGAAACCTCAGCTCAGCCTTGATTGAGATTAGAAGACTTATATTGTTTTTCTATATCATAGATTGTTCTGATTTTGTCTACATTTTATGGTGACGAGTTTTTATCCTCCAGCTTTTCTGGGAAAATGTTTGAAGCAGCATTTATATCTCCTTCTCTTCTGTGTTGTGTGACACCTTCATACAGTATTTGCTGTGACTGTCACTCCAGAGCAAATCACAATTTAAATGGATTTGAGTGAGAGCAGAGCGGAGGTCTATGCTAGAGTTAAAAAAAACTGTTAGAAGGCAAGCTCGCCACTTCTGCTCCACTATCAGGATGTAATAACAATGATATGATGTTCATTGTGCACTTTGGTGTATAGTACATGAATAGTGGCTTTGGCCTGCAATTTTGGATGAATTGTAGAAAGAACACAGTGGAAACCTGTTGTTTAAAGTTCTAGAGAAACTCCGGGGGAAGTTCACTCTTTGCGTAAATTGCAGGCTGTAGATTGCAGACTGTGGCGAGCAAACTGAGAAAGTTATTGTCGCAAACATGTGATGGACAAGTGCAGCCATCTGTGTATCTGTCTTTTAGTTCTTTATGCATGTATTTCTTTTTTGGCAGTGACGCCAGCTCTCGCAGACGCATTCAGCCGGTGTGAAAAAGGTGTGCTGTCATGGTTATTGTCCCTGAGAATTAGCAGAACAAGCTCTAAACGTCTAATACGGCAACTCTAGTTACTCTAGTAGGCAGGCGGGTGATACGACGTTAAAAAGTGGATTTTTATGTTGACACAAAGACAGGGGTCATATTAAGCAGGTGGAAATCAAGAGTGAGGTTGAGTTTAATAAGGTGGTGAATTGTTGGTGGGAAATGTGTCTTGGGTTTTGGCCCGCACGCAGTCATTTCAGAGCACATCTATTGCTGGTGCAGCATTAATGTGCTGCCACTTTGGTGCTTTGATCAACAAAAGCAAAGCTAAGTCACTAAACTGCTGTAAGAACTTGGAGCAAATGTTCAGCAGTAACAGACTGTAAATGATCAGTTTTGTCATTGCTGCTTAAACTGTCATCTGCAAACTGGGATCAGTAATTTGAGCAGGACCTGTTGTCCTCTGCAGCTTTATGCTGTAGTGAAAGCATCTCAGTTCATTAAATCTCTTGATCCATCTGAAGGCAGCAGGACTCACGCAGCCATGTGTCATCAAAGGAAGGACAAATGGTGGAACAGTGACAGAGTTACGGGTGCCTGAGGCTAACTGATGTCCATGACGATCAAAAGGCTGATCTGTACTGTAGTACAATACCACAGAAGAGCTGCTGTAAGACATATCTGAACACCTTCATGCTTCAGAATGGTAGACAGGTAGTATAACAGTTGGGGCATGGTCACCCCTACCTGTCTAGAGCCTTCAGTGGAAGCATGAGTGTCTAAACTGAAACATGGAGCTAAGTAGGAATTCCCCCTTA